GAATGAATGTCTTCATACTTAAAACACTTCTGCTGTGTTTTGTGTCTTCTCCTTCCTTTTTTCTCTCCTCCCTCCCTTCATTCCGGTCTCATGTACTCTCCCCAAAACTTTTATCTCCAGCCGTCTGCCAGATAAATGAGCAGGAACACTTGGTTGCACAGAGAAAAGGAATCTTAGAACATGATTCTTAGACATTCAAGCAACCCTTTCTTTTCAGCCCTATTTGCGCCTCCAGTTCCAGAAATATCTCGAGCTTCCAATTCCTAAGACCTCTGAGAGTTTTGTTTTTGGTGTGTGTGTGTGTGTGTGTGTGTGTGTGTGTGTTTCTGGGAAATGAACCCAGGACCTTCAAATTCTGCTATATTCCCAACATTTTAAAAATTCTGAGACAAGTTCTTGCTAAGTTGCCCAGGCTGGGCTTGCGCTTGCCATCCTCCTGCCTCAGCCTCACAGAGTGCTGGGATTACAGGCGTGCACCACCGCACTCGGCCTGTAAGTGTTTTTGTAGTACAAAATAGGGTGCTTTTTCAGCCAAGCACAGTTGTGCATGCCTGTAATACCAGGCCTCCAGGAGGCTGAAGCCGATAGATCACTGAAAGTTCTAAATCATCCTGGGCAACACAGTGAGTTCAAGCCCCCCAGCCTGAACTACATAGCGAGACCCTGTCTCAACAACCCAAAACAAAACAGAACAACAACAAAAACAAGATAGGTTGCTTTTCAGCCTGCCTCACTAGTGGATTAGGTTTCTGCTTTTTTCAAGTCTAATGTAATTACCAGTTTTTCTTTTGCTTTTCAGCTTCCAAAATTTTGTTCTTGTTATCTTCTCCTTCATTTTTGTCATCTTCTCCATTGTTCTCATTGTCATAACTGCTTCATACCTTTAAAAATAATCCTGCCAGCTGGAAGTGATAGTACACACCTGTAATCTCAGTCCTGAGAGAGACTAAGGCAGGAGGATTGTAAGATCAAGTCCCATTTGGGCAATTGGTGAGATTCTGTCTCAAAATAAAAATTTTTATTTTATTATATTTTGCTTTTTGGATAGGACCTACTAAGTCACTAAATTACCCATCCTAGGGTTGAATTTGCAATCCTTCTGTTCATCGTCCCCAAGTGGTGGGATTAAGGCTTGTGCCACCGTACCTAGCTTCCACGGACTCTTGGTGGGGTTTAAGGTAGCAATCTGGGTAAGGACTCAGTCCATCCTCTTGAATTGACTTCTCACTGACTCTGTTCATTCTCCTAGGCCCGGCTCAGATATCCCTTCTGGAAAGTCTTCTCTGCTCTTCCTCAAAATGGAATTAACTCATTCTGTCATAGGAAAAATATTTATTAATGCTTTTTGTTGTTGTTCTTACCGGGGACCCAACTCTGGACCTTGTGCTTGCGAGGCAGGCAGAGGCACCACTGAGCTAAATCCTGGCCCTATTAAATGCTTTTTACAGACTTAGCACTATCAGACAAAAGAAAAGGCATCATTTCTTGCTCCCAGTGGTCTCAGTCCAGTGGGGAAGATAAAACAATGACAAAGAAAAAAAAAAAGCTGGGTACGGTGGTGCACACCTGTAATCCCAGCCCTTGGGAGGCTGAGGAAGGAAGATCACTGTGAGTTTGAAGCCAGGGCTACACAGTGAGTTCAGGGCCAGCCTGAACTACAAAACAAGACTCCGTCTCAAAAATCCAGCCCCGCCCAAAGACAATGGTGACAACTTCAGCGAGACAAATGCTGCTGAGGGAAAATGGCTGCTACACGGAGGGTTGTGAGTGCCTAGAGGGCCATAATCCAACCCAGGGAGGTCAGAAATTCTTCCTAGATGAGAGAAGTAAGCAGAGATTGAAGATCACACAGGACTTAGCCAGACAGGCATGGGGAGAAACATTCTAACCAGAGCGTGAGCCCCTGGCCAATTCCAGTGGCACAGTCCTGAGACTTCACTGTGGCTGAGAGAGGCCCTCCCGGGCCCCGGAAGCACTTATTGTGTACTAGAGTTGTTGGTCTGTCTCCCGCCTTCCCTAAAGCCAGACTCTGAGCTCCTTCAGAGCAGATCCTGGCCAGGTCACTTAGGGTGCTCTGCCTAGGGTGGGTGAAGTCACATTCAGTTCTGTGACTCTCGCTGCTCTCCTGTCTCCAGGATTTGGGCTGTGTGGTGGGCGGAGCAGACCGTAGTGCACTGCTGGGAAATGAATCTCAGGATGAGATTCCATAATCCTGTGACAGTGGGATCCCCTTACTGTGACAGCATCACTCCCCAGAATAGAAGAAAGCAAGGCTTTCTTGCCAGAAAAAGAAACGTTCATTTCACACCATCTCTTTGGAAACAGCTCAGGAGAAAGGGAGCCTTGGCAGCTACTCCAAACCAATCCTCTTCCCGAGGGGGCTGCAGGCACCCTAACTCCTCTCCAGATGCACATCAGCCCTGGAGTCCTGGGTCCAGTTCCCTCTTTGCTCAACCCAAATCAGGCCCTGCGATAAAAGCTTGGATGATCCAGATTTAGCTCCCTGGAGGTGGACTGAGATGCTCGTATTATTGTTACCCAAAAGGCTCTTACAGACTATCTGGTTCCAGGGTTACACTTTTCTCCCACCCACCAAGGGAGAAAAAAGAGAGACACAGGACCCTGCTCAAGATCACAAAATAATTCAGAAGCAGAGCTAGGACTTGAACTCCTGCCTTCCCTCTTCTTGCCTAAAGCTTTCTCATAAACTGCTCTGTGGAGGTGGGTTATCTTAGCAACAGTTCTTTGGGTGGGAGAGGAAGTTGCTATTGTTTCCCATTCCCACAGATCCCAGGGTCCCACTCTTTACTCAAGCTCTGATTTGGAGAGTGAAGCAGGAGGGAGGAGGGCAAGAGGCAGGGCGGACCTTGGCTTCCAGGAGAGGTCTGTCCCCTCCCTATAGAAAGAACAGAGAGATGGGAACAATTCTCAGAGGGTGGACCAGTCCTGCTTCTCATGGCTCCAAGGGAAACCCCCTGTCCTTCTTGGATGCCACCTGTGGGCAAGGAAGAGTTCTTGAAGAGATCAGTGACATCCTAGCCCAGGAGGGAGCAAGGAATGGGACAGGAATCCTCTCTTTGCCTGTCTTAGGCCCAGGCAAGATCAGTCAAGAATACAGAGAGACGGCTGGACATGGTGGTACATGTCTGTAATTTTAGCACTCAGAAGGCTGAGTGAGGCAGGAGGAATCTCAACTTTGAGGCCGGCCTGGGCTACATGGAGAGACTGGCTAAAAAAAAAAAAAAAAAAAAAAAAAAAAGGACAGGGAGAAAAAATAAGAGGTTAAATATACTCCCTTCAGGTTTATAAATGGGTAATATCCACCAAGACAGGAAACAGTGAGAACCAGAGAGGTCAGGCCTGGCTCCAGATTCCCTGCATGAATTCAGGCAAGCTCTTGAACATTTGCAAGTGTGTTTCAACTGTGACAGGGGAAATGACCACTATGCTGATTCAAACACATATGTGCTTAAATGTGCGGTTATCAACCATAAAGATGTAAAGTATGGTCAGATAATCCGGGTTCAAATCCTGACTGCTTTTTTTTTGGTACCAGGGATCAAGCTCAGGAGCTTGTGCTGTTGATGCAGGCACAGCACCACTGAGCTAAAGCCCTGGCCCTGACTTTGCTTTTTATTATGTACATGACTGTGGGCAATTAATAAACCTCTCTGTGCCTCAGTTTCTTCCTCTATAAAGTATCATTTATCTAACAGGGCTGCTGTATTAAGAGAGTATCACATAAGGTGCTCAGTATGATGCCTGACAGGTGTACTTAGGTAAAAGTTCATTTTCAAAGCAGAGCAGACTAGTAGGCTCTTTCTGACCCCTTGAGCTAAAGTTTGTACAATAAGGCAGAGGGGAGAGGCGCATCCCCGCCCCAGGTATAGTCTCAGCCTAGCTCTGGACAGTGTGGCATTCACCTCCAACCTTCAAGTCCAAGTGCACACTTGGCATTTCAGTCCTGCCCCCAGGGAGTCTTCCCTGACTGCTCCACCCACCAGGCTCTTCGGGGCCTCTCCTACCAGGAGCTTGTCTGGGAGCTCCCAAAAGTCACCCTCCCTCCTGCTTCCTCCCAGATCAGCTTGGGAGAGCTGGGCACAAGCTGGGCTCCAGGAAGACTTATTAGCTGACAAACTCGCTGTTAGCTCCTGGTTCCGGGCCAGGGAGCCGCCGGCAATTCCTCCGTTCATCAGACCTGGCTGCAAAGTGGTGGCAGGTGTAAATCACCTCCTTCACCGGGATCAGGGCCCTGGGGAGCCTGCTGGGGCCCCAGCTGCCCTTTTGGCTCTGAATCTAGACCAGCGACTCCAGGGAGAAGAGAAGGCTGCTGTTTCCTCTTCTCCCCCAAGGTACAAACTGGATCCTGAGGTATGCAAGGAAAAGACAGTCGGTGGAGCACACTCAACTGTGCTGCTGCTCTGTTCTCAGGTTTCTACTATAGGCCTAGAACTTTCAAGTATTTTAAGTGGCACGAGGGGGATGTTGAGGAAGACAGATGTTTTCAGCCCCAGACAGTTTTCAGTAGATGAGCCACCACCCCAATCTCTTCTGTGCCAAATCCTGTCATGAACATTTGGGCTCACAGGAACCAGACATTTCCCCAGTTTGCAGACGGGGAAAACAAGCAAACAAACAAACAAAACTGATTGCCTTTTAATAATTGGGGCTGGAAGAGTAGATGGCCTTCTCAGGGGAGGAGAATTTGGGCTGGGCTAAAATCTCAGTATTTCCCACCCCTTACCTCTCCTCTCTAATTATTTGGCAGGGAAAAAAAAAAAAGACAACAAAAACCTGTGCCTCTACCCCCAGCCCTCAGGACCCATCAACATCCCACTTCTCCTTGGGGACAATTAATGGTTGTCATTCTGCCGCCCCTCAGGGTCTACCGAGTGATCCTGGAAGGAACCTGACACGTTAAGTGGGGGTTTTTAACTCCCTCATCTCCAGCCTAACTCTGGTGGGCGAGTCTGTCCCTTCCGGCCAAACGCCACACTCACCAGCTCCATCCTCAGCGCCACGATCTTGTCCCCCAGGCCGTGGCTGGTGCCAGGAGCCCCCGGGGGCAGCAGGACACCAGAGAGTTCGAGCTCCCAGTCTCCTCGAAGCCCGCGGAGCAGCCCTTCGGGGGTCTTCCTGCCCACCTTGCCCTCCACGTCCCGCAGATCAGGCGTCTGGGACTCCACGGTCCCCTCCATTCGGGACCGAGCCAGAACAGGGCCGGGCGGCCGCGCGGACGCTCGGGTCCCGCTCCGGGGGTCCTGATTTCGGGCTGCTGAGGCTGTGCGGAACCCGTGGGTCCCCGCCCGCGTGGCGCGGGGGCGGGAGGAGGGCGCCGTAAGGCTCTGAAAAGCCGCGCAGAGCGAGGGTGGAGAAACGTTCCCGGGCTGCAAACAACCTCCGGCCTTGGATGGCCTGGGGCTGGGCGATCCCAGCAGTGGGAGAGCTCAGCACTTTCTCCCCAGCAGGGCCCTGAATCCAGCGAGGCGCACAGCTGGAGACCAATAAGTGCGGGCCGAAGAAGACTCAGCTGCCTAATCGGTCAGAGATGTGGGAGTTTTAGGAACCGTGGCAAGAGAGCTAGCTGCAGAGGGTTTGGAAAGCTTCCTGGAGTGAAAGAGCTGGATCTGAAAACAGTAGCTGGAATTTAGCTAGCCATTCACATGCACACCTCCCCAGGGCTAGAATTCACACTGAAGGAGTAGGAAGTGAGAGCAACCAGTATTAAAGCAAGAGTCCGCATGGACTACACCTGCATGAGCTTAAGAGCAAGAGACTTCCTACACTCCCTCGGGGTCTGCAGAGATGAATCACTTGCAAGCCTTGTTAAAATGCAGGTTCTGAGCCTGGCTTGGTGGAGCACACCTATAATCCTAGCACTCAGGAGGCTGAGGCAGGAGGATTGCTGTGAGTCTGCAGACCAGCCTGCGCTACACAGTGAGTTCCAGGTCATTCTCAACTACATAGTGAGACCCTGTCTCAAAAAAAAAAAAGCAAGTTCCTCTGGGCACAGGGACTCATGCCTGAGGCCCTAACTATGCTGTGGCTGAGGCAGAAAGATTAAGAGGTCAGGGCCAGCTTGGAGAATAAAGCAAGACAGGTTCCGATTCTGTAAATTTGGGCTGGGGCCTTAGATTCTGTATTTCTTTTCTTTTTTGTTTTAGTTTAGTTTTGTTTTTTTTGAGACGGGGTCTCACAATGTAATGCAGGCTGACCTTGAACTATCTAGCTCAGGCTGGTGATCCTCCTGCCTCGGCCTCCTGAACACATGCCACCACACGCAGCTACACCATGAGAAGCTTTAAGTTAGGGATTGACAAAATATTTGCCTTTTTGAAAAAATTACTCTGGATTTTGCAGGGAGAGAGGATTGAAAGGGAAAAAGACTAGTTGGAAGGCAAGAAACAAACCTGGACCAGGGGCTTGAGGTGAAGTAGAAGAGTCAAGACCAGGCTAGAGGGTTCTTTAGGAGGTAAAACTAACAGGAATGGGAGACTGATTGCATTCATTTATTTAGAATGGCACCCAATAATTCTTTGTTCAAGAAGCAAAGGATGTTGGGTGTGCTGGCTCATGCCTATAATCCAGCCCTCAGGAGGCTAAGGCAGGAGAATCGTCACTGATATAAGGGAAATAATGTAACTCTCCCAACCTGCTAGACCTCACATATGCTGAGTTCATGTTCCCCAAAACTGATGAATAAAATTTAAGGAACAATGGAGGTTAAGAGCAGGAAAAGTTTATTGAGAGAGATATAGCTCCTGAGAGAATAAAAGGGACCCAAAAGTGGGTTGCCATGGACCCTTCACAGAGGAAGCTTTACAAAGCAAAACCTCAAGGTGGATACAAAATCATGAGGTGGGTAGCATGTGGGTCAAAACTATGATCAATCAATAAGATTACAAGTATAGGGCTGGGGATTTAGCTTAGTGGTGCTGTACCTGCCTCACAAGGGCAGGGTCCTGAGCTTGATGCCTGGTAACCCCCTAAAAAATTCAAAAAGGATTACAAGTATAGCTGCTTAGGTAATAGTGATCTTTTTGGTTTTTTTTGTTTTTTGTTTTTTGGTACCAGGGATTGAACTCAGTACCTTATACTTGCCAGGCAGGTGCGGCCCATCTGAACTATATCCCCAGCCCACAAAGACCTTTGAGAAGGTATGGATCAGGATGTCCGGTCACCTATGTGGTTGATTGATGTCTCCCTAGACTTATTGGACTAGGTGGTACCAATTATCCCCTGGGGAGGTATGCAGCCCTGGTCATTCTGCCTTTATTTTGAGGCCTGGCCTTTAACAGCTGTGTCTCCAGCCACAGTTGTAAAGTGTTCTGATCTTCTGCACTGACCCTGGAGGGTCTAGCCCTATTTGACTGCCTATATTTTTACCTAACTTAGTTGTCTATAGTATTAAACAAGCCTGGACCAGTGGCTTATTGTGAAGTTGTAGAAGAATTAGACCTGAATAGAGGAGTCTTTAGGAGGTAAAACTGACAGGAATGGGTTACTGATTGCATTCATTCATTTAGAATGGCATCCAATAATTTGTTCAAGAAACAAATAATGCTAGGTGTGGTGGTGCCATGAGTTGGAGGTCAGCCTGAACTGCAGAGCAAGACCCTGTCTCAAAACGAAACAAAACAGCAGCTGGGTGTGGTGGCTTATGCCTGCAATCCTAGAACTTGGGAGGCCGAAGCAGGAAGATCGAGACCAGCCTAGGCTACACAGTGAGTTCCAGGGCAGTCTGAACTACATAGTGAGACCCTGTCTAAAACAAAACAAAAAACAAAAACCCCACCCAAAACCAAAGCCCTAGGTTCATTCCCCAGCATAGGAAAAAAAAAAAAAAAAAAGAAAGAAAGAAAAATGCCTGCCCTGGCTGATTACTGAATCTAAAACCCTAGGAACAGAAGCTGCCATCTGTATTTCAACAAGTCCTCCAGATGGTTGAGATGCAAGCTTGAGAACCACATGATGAGCTAAATGATTTAAGCATCTTCTCATTTAAACATCACAACTTCAGGGTGCTAGGAGTAGCTTAGCGGTAGGGTGCCTGCATTAGGCCTTGGATTCTGATTCCCAGCACTGCAAACTAAACGAAACAAACTTCATGACTGGCTTTGTAAGCATTAAGAGCAGAATCTGGAGCCAGGCCACTAGAGCTTCAATTCCAGCTCTCCCAGTTTTGTGACATTTTCTTTATCTAAGATCAGGATAATGCTATGGGCGAACTGCGCCATTAACATAGACTGGACATGTTTGTCTTTCCAGGATGTCAGAATTCATTATGTAACAGTAAAATCACAAGCTATGTCAACTGTCAGCTTTTAACTTGATGAATGCTCTAGATTTCTAGCCACTCTCTGGAGTACTTCTAGGCAATACTCTAAATCCAGGCAATTACAGGCTTTTTTCTTCTAATCTTTGATTTTTGTTTTTGGGATCAAACTCACTGTTCTGCCTCACCCTCCTGAATGCTAGGATCACAGGTACACACCAACTTATTCCAACCTTAATTACTAACACCTAAAGCACTCAAGTCACACATCATTATCACACAATATATAGGTTACAGAATGGCTAAGAGAGGGCTAACAATAGCCACAGGATTCAGTCAGGAGTGAAATTAGGGAGCCAGTAGAGACATAAACAGTCAGCAAAGGTGGCCAGATAAGATGCAGACCCCTACAGGCAGAGCTTTTTCTAGGTACTGAGCTTTGGGCTGGGGATTTAGCTCAGCAGTTTGATGACCTGCCTTGCAAGCACAAGGACCCAAGTTCAATCCCTGGTATGGGGGCGGGTGGTGGTGGTGGTAAACTTGTTGGTAGTTTGGGAGGTCACATCAAGCAGGGTGGTCAAGCTGAGTTGAAACCAGGATAGTTGTTGAACTTTTTTATGTATAATTTTTTTCCTCATTGAGTTTATTGGTACATTTTAGGTACAATACAGTTACATTCATCATTGGGATCTTGTACCTTTACATGACAGGTTTTGGTTTTCATTTTTTTCCCTTACCCCTGCCCTCCCTTCATCCCCTCCTCCCTTCCCTGTTTACAACTACTTTATTTCTATTTTTTCATTTTCTTTTTTTTTCTTCTTTTAGTTGTTGAATTTTTGTTCACCAAGTAGCCTGATAGGATGAGGGTCAAGTCACAATGTGTGTGCTGCTGTACCCCAGTGTTAGGCACCCTTCCTTTTACAGGATTCAAGTGAGGCAGTTTTATCATTTGTTGGTCAAGTGTGTGTGATAAGATCTCAGGCTGGTTCTTCTGCTATGGTTTTGATATCTCATGTTTTCCTGTGCCACTGATTTAACTTGATAACTTTGAGGTAATTGTTGGTGGTGTTTTTTGTTTTGTATGTTTGTTTGTTTGATTTTTTAAATTTATTTTTATTTTTATTTTTTGGGGGGACAGGGTCTCACTATGTAGTTGAGACTGACCTGGAACTCACTATGTAGCTCAGGCTGGTCTCGAACTCACAACGATCCTTCTGCCTCAGCCTCCCAAGTGATGGGATTACAGGCGTGTGGCACCTAGCCCGGCTGTTTGTTTGATTGAGATAGGGTCTCTCTATGTAGTTCAGACAAGCCTTGAACTCACCACGTAGCCCAAGCTGGCCTCGAAGTCAGGGCAATACTCCTGAGTCAGCCTCCCAAGTGCTAGGATCACAGATGTGTGCCACCACACAGGGCTCAGTAACTATGTTTATTAGCACAGTTGATTTACACTTGTGCCTTCTGATTGTGCTGTGCAGTTGGGCACTGTCCTTTTCGGTAGTGTACCCAATATCCGGTGGTTATCTATTTGCACAGAAGAGTTATCAAGTCATTCTGCTTCGGCACTGCTCACAAGCACTACTCACAGTAGGGCAACGCTGTCTTATAAACCACAGTCACAGAGGGCAAGGCAGAGTGTGGCCTGCTTGCCACAAATGATAGTGCCGACCTCCTGGATTATGGAACGAATGTGTTAATGTAAATTAAGTGCTCAGAAGAGCAAAACCAGGTTTCCGAGGCGCCTCCACCTTCCAGGTGGGGTTGGCTGTGCTCAGGCCTTCAGCTCTCTGGACCTCACCCTGACCAGTGTTGGGGTCCAAGGTGCCAGGTCTCCAACTTGAATCGAGCTGGCTTTCGGTGGCCGCAAGGCTTCCGACAGCTGCCTGCAAGCTCGCCCTCCTCCCATGCCGTAAAA